GAGTACGCAGCAAGGTAATTGGTAGATTGGTTTTTTAAATTGATCTACTAATTTCGTGGATACATCCGGCATGTATCTACAAAAGTACGCAATATTTCATATGCAACTTATCGTACCTATTCAGATCATACAACATTGTCAGATCCATGATTTATTATGTTTTCCTAGAGCATGTCTTTTATACAATATCTATTGCGCGAATGTCCCCGATGTTAAATCGACTACGGTCTAACGCTGGGGGCTCGCTCTGTTCTCTTCTATATAAATCATGCTTGCTTACAGTTTACATAATGCATGATATTTACATCTGCTTGTTATATCCTGATAATACCAGAAGATCTATGTAGTTTTTTGAGTACATACTCGATATTATCTGCTATATATCTTGCCTTCTAGAAAATATTTTTCAGGAACAATTGAGCACTCGAGTAGGTCGTGGTCAAGTACACCGCATTATCGAGAACGATCTCGACAAATGCAGAGTCGTCATGCCCAACCTACCAAAGAAGACCGACGACCTATCTCATAGCGCCGGCCATCGCTGGACTACTCGAGAAAAGGTTGTTAACGGATAATACCTCGCGAACGTCGTCGGCTTGATCACCCGACATGATTGCGAACGAACATTCAGATATGCTACAAGTTGGGTGTGTGAGTCATGCTGGCCACATGAGACGCACATGTAATAAACCAACTTTAGCACCTCCGTTGGTGTTCGAGAGATAATTCTACACACTCGCTGGTTCTCGAACCAGCACGTAGCAATCTCTCGCACCGCAAACTTCCATTGGTGTCCGAGAGATAACTCTACTCGCTCGCTGGTTCTCCAACCAGCACGTAGCAATCTCTCGCACCGCCAACTTCCATCGGTGTTCGAGAGATAATTCTACACGCTCGCTGGTTCTCGAACCAGTACGTAGCAATCTCTCGCACCGCCAACTTTCATCGGTGTTCGAGAGATAATTCTACACGCTCGCTGGTTCTCGAACCAGCACGTAGCAATCTCTTGCACCGCAAACTTCCATTGGTGTCCGAGAGATAACTCTACTTGCTCGCTGGTTCTCGAACCAGCACGTAGCAATCTCTCGTACCGCCAACTTCCATCGGTGTTCGAGAGATAATTCTACACGCTCGCTGGTTCTCGAACCAGCACGTAGCAATCTCTCGCACCGCAAACTTCCATTGGTGTCCGAGAGATAACTCTACTCGCTCGCTGGTTCTCCAACCAGCACGTAGCAATCTCTCGCACCACCAACTTCCATCGGTGTTCAAGAGATAATTCTACACGCTCGCTGGTTCTCGAACAAGTACGTAGCAATCTCTCGCACCGCCAACTTCCATCGGTGTCCGAGAGATAACTCTACTCGCTCGCTGGTTCTCCAACCAGCACGTAGCAATCTCTCGCACCGCAACATCCATTGGTGTTCGAGAGATAATTCTACTCGCTCGCTGGTTCTCGAACTAGTAAAACGTAGCAATCTCTCGCACCTTAACTTCGGATGGTCAAGGTACGACTACAACAATAACGCAGCGGTCCTCGCACCACGACTTCAAATGATCGAGAGACACCTACTCACTGGTTCTCAACCAGTCAATCATAGCGAACTCTCGTACATTTGCTTCTAGTGGTTGAGTTACGACTACTACCTGGTCCCCGATCAGAGGTGTAGCGATTCTCCCACTACCTTTACTTCTAGTGGTCGAGTTTAGACTACACCTGGTTCTCAACCAGCGGTGTAGCGATTCTCCCACTATCTTCACTTTAAGTGGTCGAGTTACGACTACTACCTAGTTCTCGACCAGCGGTGTTGCGATTCTCCCACTATCTTCACTTTAAGTGGTCGAGTTACGACTACTACCTGGTTCTCGACCAGCGGTGTAGCGATTCTCCCACTATTTCCTCTTCTAGTGGTCGAGTTTAGACTACATCTGGTTCTCGACCAGCGGTGTAGCGATTCTCCCACTACCTTTACTTCTAGTGGTCGAGTTTAGACTACACCTGGTTCTCGACCAGCGGTGTAGCGATTCTCCCACTATTTCCACTTCAAGTGGTCGAGTTACGACTATTACCTGGTCCTCGACCAGCGGTGTAGCGATTCTCCCACTATTTCCACTTCAAGTGGTCGAGTTACGACTACTACCTGGTCCTCGACCAGCGGTGTAGCGATTCTCCCACTATCTCCACTTTAAGTGGTCGAGTTACGACTACTACCTGGTTCTCGACCAGTGGTGTAGCGATTCTCCCATTACCTCTACTCCAACAAAGTTGATATCAGGTGCACAGTATCGCCTAGTGTTTTACCCAGAGATCCCTTACCATAAAAGACACCTAGCGTTGAAACCTATCCTAACGTCCCACGCTGTCTTGACAAAGCCTCTGAGGAACTTAAGGGAACTTCGGCTGTGGACGCCCAAAGCGGATAAGGCTTTGTCGGATCCTTCAGAGACGAAAGACCATGTAAGATCTGGTCATGTAAGAGTTCTCGCCGTGCGTGTTAATCAAGCCGTGTAATCGGAAATTGGATTTTCCAACTTCACGGCTGGGGGTTAGGATCAGTGCTTGTTCAACTGAGGCAGGTCAAAGGTCCAAGAGCCTTATCTTCCGAGAACAATTCTCCGATGACAAGGCTGGGGGCTAGGGAGAGTGTATAACTCTACAAACTGACTGATCGGAGTCGGTAAAAGAGAAGACGCTCATATACAAAACACTGGTTTATAAATTTAATTCATCTTCAATTTTTCCAGACATATTATAACATGTCACCCTTCGAGCGTTCGCTCGGGGACTATTTCTATCTAATATTCTTTTATGAGTATTGATTTTAGGAAAATTCTATTTGACATTATCAAAGACTCCATGTCTCTATGGTTCTACACCAAGATCGACTAAGGCGGGTACGACAAATATTGACAAGGCTCCGTCGCAGACTCTGCGCCTTCTCGATCGCTCGAGAACGGTTGGTGGATATCGACAAGGAATACGGAATGAAGAAATGGTGTACCCGCCGAGATAAAATTTCTTGACTTCAATCCAAATTCTCGATTACAGCAAGACGAGAGACTTAGTCGTATGCTCTGTACTTTCTTGGTTGACATCAGAGATTGACTCAGACAAACCCTTTAGGTGCCCGCACGAGGCTAACAAAGGAAGTCTAACGTTATCTTTAAACTCACCGAGAACGGTCACATGAGTTCGATAACAGTTACTCCAATGTCTGCGCGCGGTTGAGAATATGAATTCGTTCATTTGCATCGAAGTCAGGGGCTACTGTCAGGGTTATGGGTACCACATATCTAATAGTAGTTGACTAAATCTCGGTAGGATCCACCACATACCATGTCCTATACGGAAACAACCTGTGGATATAGGAGGAGTTCCGGATAAGGAAAGACAACCAGAGTTCTACATGGAAACGACAAGGACTACTCGAATTGTATCCATATTGGTTTCCCAAGTTCTACTTGGACAAGAGGACACCTATGTGTATAAATACAAGCTCCCCTAGGAGGAGAGGGGGGACAATCAACACACGACCACTTCAATCAACACCCAACACAATCGACATAGAAGCCACAACATAGAAGCCTACATACGCCAAGACACGCCGTCGGATATCAACTTCAGGGATAAACACGGCTAGTACCCTACGGTGTCTCCGGATACTGTCAGGAGAGATGAAAGCGCTATCTCTGATCTCGCCGGGCACGGATTCGAGGTGGAAGGCTACCCTGTTGTCGACTACGAGTCAGATCGTCAGACCGCCATGTCGACAACAGTTAGATAGGCTACCCCAAGTATTGTACTGGTGTGATTATCATGAATAAGAGCAATACTGGCTTCGGCCAACAGGATGTAGGGTTATTACCTGACCGTTCAGGGGCCTAAACCTGTATAAAAATCCCCGTCTCCGTCTCTTTTACCTCAGTCTCGCGTATACCCTAGCACCGACGATCCCCACACCATGCAAATACCAGAACCGCAACATCAAACGTCGACAAAATACATCATAAATTCTCAAGAAGAAATACATCACAGATCACAGTCTCACAGATCAAATATATCACAAAATCTCAAAAAAAGAAGAATGAACTTCTTCCTCCATCTGCCGCACGGCTGCCCGTCACGCCGCCGCACGGCTGTGCCGACGCCGTCGATCTACCGTCGCTCCACCGCCACCTGGGCTCCCATCCCGTGGCCTCTCCTCCCGGTGGATCTGGCTGAGGGGGAGGGTGCCTCCGCCACCACTTCCGTCGCTCGGCCGCCGCCGCTGCTTCTCCCGCCCGGCTGCCGCTTCCGCTTCTCAAGAGAGCTAGAGAGACACAGAGAGAGGCGAGAGTGGATAAGGATGTGTGAGACGTGTGATCTTTACTTGTTGGGGGCCGTGAGACGTGTGATCTTTTACTCGTTGAGGGCCTGACACGGCCAGACAGCTATTAAACTGGAACTAAAAATGATCTTTAGTTCTCACCAACCTAAATTAAAATCAGAAAGTGCCATTGGGCTTTTAAACTGGGCTAAAGCTGATCTTTAGTTATGACCCCTATTTGAACCAGGGCTAATGTGATTTTCGCATGGTCCGACAAAAATCCCTTCTCCAGCGTAGAGCACTTGCACTTACCCGCCAACATCCTGGATAATCCACGATGACTAGGACACCATCGATCGAAGGATTACAAGTAGCGATGCTTCGCGTGGTGCTGACGTCATCGGATCCGATATTACATCACGGCGTGCGACACAAACTCCATTGGCAGCAACGGCTGCAAGCGACCCCGGCTCTAATCCAGCGCGCCGCACCACCACACGCATCACCCGCCCGCCACCCACTCGCGACCCGCCACGTGTGCAGGACCTGGACATCCCCGACCCGCCCCGCCTCACCGGTCATTCGCAGCCCACCAACCTCCAAAGCCGGTCTACTGGGCCCACGCGTCGGCGACATGTGGCAGGGAGGGTGGTGTTTTTCACGCGCGGTCCCCTTCCATGTTGGGGTATTTTAAACCGGCTCCCGCCTCTCCCAGCTATCGCCTCCCCCCGTCTCCTGCTCCTTCCTCTTCCTCGGCAGCTTCGCCTCCTCCCCAATTCCACCGCCCCGCGCGTGCGGCGAGACCTCGGCGCCCTCTGCCCCTAATTCCCGGGCCCCGTAGGCACGGCGTGTACGGCCTCTTGCCCTAGCCTTCTCCCCCCTTTTCGGCATCCTCGCTCGCGCCGCCGGCGAGCAGGTTTTGAGGGGCGCGGCGGTCGTCCTCCGTCTCGGGTTGAGTCGAATTGAAGGTACAGGTTAGCCTCTCCTTTCCCTCCCTCCTCATCCGGGTCGCTTCATGAGCCGGCACAGATTATAGCGAGTTCGGAGTTCCTTAGTAGTACGTCTTAGGATTTTATGCTGGAATCGTCGGTACTTCGTTTGCAGTTACTACCAACTTTGCTATGGACCAATCGTCCGCTTAAGAATCTAACGCCATGGTAGAGATCATAAAGGCGATAGGGATACGCTGCACACGCATATTTGTCCGTTTCCTTCCCTTCAGGTTATTAAATTATTTTTTAAATCGTGTAGGGAATGACTGGCTGTAGAAGAGTCCAAGCCTCCGGCTATCAGCTTTACTGCCCTGCTTGGAGTTGCCTGGATAGCTGGATTGCAAGCTTGTGTCCACGTTAAAGTCTTGTTCTTTTCGAGGTGAATGCGAAATTTATATTTGTTTTTTTCCCTCCTCCTTTCAGTTCCTATTTGAACAGATTTAGTTGTAATCATCTGTACAAAGTGTATGTCAGATATCCTTTTTTGGGGGAAATTAGCTCATCACCACCCATCAGCGATTGTGCATTGCCAAAAAAAAAAAGAAAAAAAAGAAGAGGTTTTTAAAAACGACCAGAATACCCTTAGGTATTTGTTCATTGTTTCATTTTCACTAAGGCCAAGTTTGATTTTGACTCTTGCCCCTCCCATCGAGAACATGGCTTCTTTAATTGAGATGGACGAAGGCTTTATTCTGTTCATTTTGAGTTGTGTCATTTCCAAACTGAACTGTTTTTCTAGTATTGTTTTGTAGTGATGCTCATTTTGAATACTATTTTCGTGGTCATATTGGTGTTGCTGAGCTACTCAGCCATTTCCTTTTTTGTATTATTAAATTAATAATAAAAAACTGATTTACCTCTACAAGCATGCATGTCCCGTTTTTATTCTGTAATGAAAGATGCAGCGGAAGAGTATCATTAATATCCTAGAAATATAATATAATAAACGATTACAACCTTTTATAACTATAATTTTCTTGGAGTTACTTTTGAAGTTAAGCACAGTAGCTGTCTTTCTGTCATGCAGACTGCTGTACTAGTATATCAATTGATCATTCTTTGGAGGTGTTAGGTATTCAGTGAATATTTAGCATAGGAAAGTTGTTTGATTATTGTCAGAAGTGACAAACTTCATCATGCTCATAATTTCAGTATCCAAACATGGGCTGGAAAAGGAAGACACATCATGGAGGATCATGTCATCAACAACAATCCTGTCCTTCACATGGTAATGAATTGTCTGCGATAGATGAGGAGGTTTCCCATCTTACGAGGCTTAAATCCGAGCCATGTGAGAGGACTCGTGCATCCCTTCATGCTGGAAAAAAGAGGCATATCTCAACATTCAAGTTGTTGTCAGGGAGAGAATCCAACTGCTTAGGGATTGGTAGGTTCTCTTCAGCTGATTGCTCTTATGCTCTTCGTAAACACCTACCAGTAAAAGGCCCATGGTGTGTTGATGACATGGACAGTGAAGCCTACATATCTCAATTCTCCGCAGATGGTTCCCTTCTCATTGGTGGGTTCCGGGTATGTCGTTGTGCTATTATAGGGAAAATTATAACCATTACCACATGAGTTTAGCTTTTGTTTAGATACCTTGGCTGCACAAAATGTTGTGATATGGGTGACTGACAATCCTTTATGCCAACAATTAATCAGGGTAGCCATATCAGAATCTACAATGCTGAGAAAAAGTGGACGATACATAAGGACATAACCTGCAAAAAGCTACGTTGGACAGTTTCAGATATTGCTCTTTCACCTGATCAACGATACCTAGTAAGACTCTTATGCATTGTTCTCATTCTTTCTTTTCTTTTGTGTGCTGTTTACTCATTGACATCTAGTGAACTCACTCTTTTCAGGATAACATATATGATTCCATTTTTTGTAAATAAAAATTCGCATCAATGTGCTTGAATAATATTTATTACAGTCTGACTATTTTTAGTTCCATAGTGTGTTTCTTTTTTCCCCTTCATACATGGATTTGAGCCCTTTGTTTGGGTAATGCAAGTTTGAACCTATTGTGCATGAAGAAAATATGAGTGTTCTCTGAGTTAGAATAACATATTTGATTCCTAGATATACTAAAATTTGCAGATTACCACCTTCAAAATCCATGCAATCTGCATATTTTTATAAGCATTTTGGCTCCATTGCTGTCCATGTTATGTACCCTATAAGCAAGGTGGACTCTGAGTAACTCAACATTTGATTCCCCTTTTTTCTAAAAAAAATGTGGTAAATAGAAATATAGACCATGAAAAATTGACCAGGGAACTGACAGCCTCTTTAGGGATATATCATGATAGATTTATAAATTCCAAAACAAATCATGGACCATATGGATTGTCAGTTCCCCTGGGTACTAAGACTGTACTATATGGACCATAGCTTTAATTATTACAGTCCACTATGATTATACAACAAACTGTTATTGCACTTCATATATCTCATCAAATAATTGTTGCTTATGTTTGTATCTTCTGGACCTTTTCTAGTAGCCTGTCCCTACAGAACTTATGATACATGTGTTCTTTGAGAACTGAGTAAGATTAGATAGACTAATTTCTACATGTAATTTTTCAACTTTGCACTTCTTTATTTTCTTTCACTAGCTTAGAAGTATTTACAAGAGTTCTTCCTATAATTCCTAACAAGCTACCTTTAGATGTCTCCCTAAGTTCTATTCATGAAGTTACACTTGAGACTAGTTCAGGTCTTTTTGTATATTTGTTTTATATCATTAACTAAGTGTTACTCGTTCTTTTTGCAGGCTTATTCCAGTCTGTCACCTATCGTTCATATGGTAGATATCCAGAATGGCATGAGAGAATCACATGCCAATATTACGGTATATCCTCTGATGATAACAAAAATAGGAAATTTGGAGTCTATTTGTATTGTGTTGCAGCATGTGCTGACTCCAGAGGCACTTGAAAAAACATACCATGGTTTTACTTATATTTAAAAATTCTAGAGGCGTTTTTATTTGATAAGAAACATTTATACATAATTAAAAACTATAACCTTTGGAGTTGGGGCGCATTATGGTTAGTGTGCAAACATGAAAAATAAATCAACACTATTATACAGACCTGCCAGCCCATTCAGGTTGTCACAAAAATTACTCTATTCTACCCCTTCAAAATAAAACCACCTCCTAAATGGATATTTTAAATAAAATAACCCCTGAGACTGTTTCGGAGGTAGTTTTGCCATTGTGACAGCTGGCGTGCCTATGAGATGATGAGGGCAATTTTCTTCGTGCTATGTCTTCTTCCTCAGTTACTGACTTTCACTGTGGCCCAAGGTTCGAAAAAGCGGTATCCAGTTTTGTGTGGTGACCCCACCTTGTAGTGTTTATGCGGCATAATTGGATGCTTATACGGTATAATCGGACACTTATGTGGCTTAAGTGTACAAGGTTGGGGCACCTGTTCCTTGTATGCAGCCTTTTAGACCTTTTTTCAGAACACTGCTATGCCTAGAGTGCAACAACGCCCTTAGTTGCCACCAACCAAAGCCAAGCCCAAGTGAGTGACCATTTTCTTGAGTCAGTTCAATGTCAACAGTCATGGTGGCAAAACCACCCTGAAAACCACCATAGGAGGAAGAACGCCTGGTTTCATACTTAGGAGATTAAGTAGGCTGACCATAATATTCGAGGGCGTTAAGTAGACTTTTTCCTTGTCAAAATAGTATGTACTAGTTGTTAGCATATTTATTGATGGTTGTGACTTCTATTTCTACTGTTTTCTTTTTGGAAATAATTGTCCTTATGTACGTTTTTACATATTCTGTTTTTATTTATAATGCAGCAAGTTCACGAAGGCTTGGAGTTTTCGAATGATGATGATGGGTTCTCCTTTGCCATATTTTCTGTTAAGTTTTCAAAAGATGGCCGAGAACTTGTTGTTGGAAACAACAATGAATCAATATGTATTTACGATATTGGATCAAACAAAGTAACAGAACGCATTCACGCTCATTCGGTATGAAACAGATGCATGACTGAGCTACATGCTTTTATTGTCAATGTATGACTGTTTTCTGTCCCACCAATTGATATCTGCACATTATCTTTTCTTCCGTGCATCATTACCATTTTGAACAAGTGGTATTTACAATGTAATTAGAATAACACCATTTGTTTCTTTCTTAGATAACTTGATAAGATTAGGTTCTTAGTGTAGCTTGATGCGTCACACTAACACAGTATATACATATGGGAGGAATTTAAGACAAAAGGGATTGTAGGTCAAGGTCACTGACAAAGGTTTCTGCCATTTTATTCTGAAGAATGATGATATATTTAGGAAGCTTTGATCCAACAAAACTGGAAATTTGCACAAAAGAATCAAAATTTGCATGTTTATCAAATCATCTGGTGTACTAAAAATTCTCATTCTGGGTATAATAGACAAGTTAATGAACATGCTTCAGCAGGCAAAAATATCATCAGCTAGGAGCAGATGTCTTGCTAAAATTTATTTTTGTCACATGTCATAAATGTGGAGTTATTGAAGCAGTAGAGTTAGGCACTGCATCAATTCCTGCCAGTTTCCTGAAAGTAGTAGTGGACTCAGCCCAGTATGTTCGAAACATATACTGACATAAACAACTAGAAATATGAAATCAAACATTTCAGGGATGTTGAGTGAACTTGAAAACTTGCCCTTGTCCAGAAACCACCTTGATAGTGAGATCTCAAACAGTAGATGGGACTATCTGTAACAAGACAATGTAACGTATGTGCTACATTTTATATTGTTGGATTAACTTAGGTTTGGAACCTTTCTTGATAATATATTTTTCATTTCTCTTTTGTGGTAGCCATTGTATTAGAAAAAAAAAGTTATGTTTCTTACTAAATCTTATTTTCTCAACTTTTGGTCTTTAAAGGCTGATGTCAATGCAGTCACCTTTGCTGATGAAGGTAGTGATGTTTTATACTCTGGAAGTGATGATAGCCTCTGTAAGGTGAGACTAATATTTCCCAATTTCATTTACTCTTTCTTTAAAGATGATTCTATTTGCATTTGCTGGTTTAAGTCAGACAGCAACATTGCAGGTTTATCTGGCTGATCGTGCCAGAAGTCCAGCAGTGCTTGAATATTTGGTGTAAATACACTGTCTACACTAAGTCACTAAGTCACTAACCAATATGAAACATGAGCAATGAGTTCAGCCTCTAGAGGACCGATTTGTGTAGCCGCTAGAGGAACTATTGTTCAGTAGTGCAAACTCTAACACCAGTCTGTTTGGTATTAATGCATGATCAGTCTTTTTGCTTGCCTAGGAGATGTGAAATCTGTGAAGGGCTTCCTATCATATCGAAGTTCTGATAAGTCACCCATGGAGGCTTTCTTTGACTGACACTGTTATCCAATCTTCAGGTCTGGGATAGGCGCTGCAACAAGAGAGGAAAACAAGTTGGTGTTTTGACAGGTCATTTAGATGGGATTACATTTATTGATAGCCGTGGAGATGGGCATTATTTTATTTCAAATTGCAAGGATCAAACTATTAAACTATGGGACATCAGGAAAATGTCGTCCACTGTGAAAGAGTAAATACAGCTCTTGCTTTTGCATGATTATTCCTCTAAACCAAACCACTTTTTATGCTTGAATCTTAAACGCAACATATTGTAAGCAAGTAGGAAATGCTAAAATCAAAATCTGCCTTTGACTAGATCTGCTTGGCCTGATTTGTCCAAGATCTTGTCTACATGCCTGACCCAAAGTCCAAAATATAAAATAGGCTAAAGTTATTCGACAGAAATACTATTTTTACTTGTAGTTTGTTTTTGCAGCTGCACACCAAAAGCATATGAATGGGATTACAGATGGATGACATATCCCTCAGAAGCCCGATATTTCAAGCATCCATATGACCAGTCCCTGTCAACATTTAGAGGGCATTCAGTGTTACGTACACTAATTCGTTGCTATTTTTCCCCAATACACAGGTTAGTTTAGATATGCTAAATAATTTCTCTGATATATGTTACTGATGTGTCATTGGTCTCGAGATTTTACTCCAAATACTGGAATTTTGTGTTGTTCCATAACCATGGGATTTGATCTTTAGTAAATAAATAAATTCGTAGGCAGGATTAGTTCTGGCTTGTTGTTTTTTCTCCTCTCTGCAATATCACATCCCCTTAAATCTGGCTTGAGTGCAAATTCCCATAGCCTATCCTTGATACCATGGTACTTCCTTATTTTACCCTGTCAAGTACCTCCTCAGTTACACTATTGAAATTGACTTGAGCTGAAAATGGATGCAAAGGCAAAGCTAACATGGCCATTTAGATGGATGATCGTCACATGATGTACACCAGCTCTGTGCCTCTTGCACAAAACAGTCTAACCAATGCACCTGGAAGGCTAGGATCTACCAAGTTTTTTTTTTTTTGACCAGGAAAACTGCCAGGGCTTTGCCCAGCAGTGTAATTTAAATAAAGAAAATATTTACAAGGTTACAAAGATTACATGCGGTTCACACAGAGATACTATAAGGTTTGTACCCAATTAAAAATAGTTTGCTTTAAAGGATCATTCATTCTACACATATGCAGAAGAACTTCTTTGATGAAAAGAGATCTCCATGCCTGGAAAGAGGGTTGAATGTTCTGAAATATGAAGCCATTTCTTTGTTTCCAGATGTGCCAAGCTGCCAAAAAGAAAATTTCCAGGAAACCCTTCTGAGAAAATTTGATTCTTGCTAGGGAGATCATTTGGAAAAACTCCAAATTGTTATTCCACTCAATTCCCAGGTATTGCCAACAGCTGATGCTGAAAGGACATAAAAAGAAGAGGTGTAGCCTTGTCTCTCTGCAGTTCGCATTGCACAAAACACACGTGAGATCATCATCTTCTTTGGCACAATGTCTTCTATCCAGCATATCTCTTTTATTAAGTCTATCACAAAACATTAGCCAGGCAAAGACTTTGATCTTCATGACACATTTTGTTTTCCATAGCCAAATCATGGGTCTGGGGGGTTGCAATGCAGAATAATTTAGCTTATAGAATTTCTTAGCTGTGTACTTATCTGAGCCCCAGATAAAATTCCAAGCATCCCCCATCCCTGATTGTAAATTCAAACTGTCCAGAACCCCCTGAAGTTGCAAGAATTCCGAGTAAGCCTCATCCGAGAGGGGTAGAGCAAAAGAATCTTCTAGGGGTCTTGAACACATGGCCTTGACTGAATCAGACTTATACATAGTCACAAAAAAGAGATTGGGGTAGCTGGTGCATTTAAAATCATCATTCCATAGATCATTCCAGAAAAGGGCAGTTCTTCCTGTCCTGATTTCACATTTTGCTATCCCCTGAATATGTCTACAAGAGTTGTGATGTCCCTCCACCAAAAAGAACCCTTATTCATCGTCAGGTGTGGAACTTTAGAGACATAGTATGATTGTGAGATTAATTTCACCCATGGTAAATCAGCACCATTATAGAACTTGATCATATGCTTTAGAAGAAGGGCTGTGTTTTGAACTCTCAGATTGATCACTCCTAAGCCTCCTTTCTCCTTAGGCATGCACACCCTATCCCAGGAAGCTAGAGATTTCCTTGTCGAAGAAGGGTTATTACCTCTCCACAGGCAATTCTTACGAGCTGTGTCAATGGCCTTGATGACTGTAACTGGTAGCTGCAATGAGGACATGTAATAGGTTGCAATGAGGATCTACCAAGTTGACCTTTCAACCTTTGACCTGACTGGTACCACATCCAATTCAGTTCTCTTAGATTTATGGTGCAATCCATGGGAGTAAAAGGCTTTTTCTGGGGGCCTATGCGTCTAACTCTTGTGTTTTTATTATTAGTTAATACTGTTTCTGATTCTTCTCTTTTTGCAGCACGGGTCAGAGGTATATATATACAGGATCCAGTGACCAATGTGTATATATTTATGATGTGGTATGGACCTTAGATGTTTCCCTTAAACTGTGATATTGTACTGTGATTCTACTATTTGCATACTATGGCAGTTTTTCTGCACACAGGGTGTGTATCCCATCTGTGAAAACTGAAAAGTCAAAAGCTCATGCTGCATCTATGCAAAAAGAAAAATCATAGATGTACACATGAATTTTTTTTTCAATATTAAATATGTCCATGCTTTCAAGAAACCAAAAGGCATTCCCTGTGTAACCTTTGTGAAATCTATTTTGTAATAGGGGTCCAAATGCCAGGGAATTTTGCATAATTTTGGGCTTGTTATTATCATTGTGGTATTTTTGGCTATCTCCTCTATGTCCTCCAATTTCTCTAATACACAAGGATTATATTATGATAATCAAGTTTTTTATTCATAGGGGATTACAATCTACTGTAGGTAACTTTGGCTAGACAATTTCATGGGTTATAATCATTTCTGTGTAGAGAGATCATAATTGGAAGTTTTAGTAAAAACTGTGAGAAATTAAGCCATTAAGATTAAATTATGTTTTTGGATCAAGAAAGACATTTTACAAACCTGAAACCGCACCATTGATTCTGTAGATCATATTATAGATGTTATAAACTGTATTTTTTTATGCATTGGTGTAAACCTTGTTTCACCCTGAGAAACAATGGTAGCAACGTCTCCATGAAGCACGGCCTTCCCGTTTATTCGGTGTTGTGTATTCGTATTCTCCAGCTTAAAGTTGGCCCCTATGTAACTCCTTGTGACTGAAGTGAATCAACTCTCTCTTTCTTGCAGGCTACTGGAAAAATTGTTGAAAAACTCAGATGGCATGGATCAATAATCAGAGATTGTTCCTGGCACCCATACTTTCCAACGCTTGTTAGCTCTTCTTGGGATGGCTATCTAGTCCGGTGGGAAGCAACAGAGGACGACAAGGACCCCTCCATGCTCAAGACCGGAAAGCAAAGAATGCATCCAGAGGGATACACATTTTCGTTTGTGTTTTAGAAATTCAGCAGACGGCAGGGTCCTCAATGCTTGGAAGATGTATTCACGTCGATGCTACTGTGTCGGATTAGTCATTTTCTCTGCTTTCTGGTTCAAGTAGCAACGTATTCAGCCGTATAGAAATTCACCGAATCAAAGTACAACATTACAAGTTACAAAGGTAGAGTAGTTCAATCAGTCATTTACAAATGTATGTCTTTGCTTCTCTTTTTCTCCCATTTGGGATTTCGACGGCCTTGACTAGATAGATATTGGTGACGGGCACCTTGCTCGCTAGTCAGGCTTGGAGAATGCTCCAAAATTTGGGTACAAATATGTACAGTTCAAAAGATGAATAAAGTGAGGAATCTTCAATGCATTGTGTTTTTGTTCACTCGACCCCGAATTCCAAAATAGCTTTTGGCCTCCTAGTCCCTACGGTAAAACATACATGATTTTAACTTTATTTATTTATTTTCAACAGTCTTTGAGCTACGATTGTGATCATGATTTAATACTAGAACAGGTTAATAATTTAATATGTTTATGAGATTATGAAAGTACTCTACATACACATTCAATTTTTATATTTTCAAACTATGTATAGTCACTAATAGTCAAAGTGTCAAAAGTTTGATTGGATTTTGTCCCAAATTCATGGTCAAAGGAAGTATATATGTATCTCTTGTAACATATAAGTTAAGCGTCATGCCAAATGGTATATCTTAAAAACTACAAAGTATTTGTTAGTATATGGCTAGAATTGTAAAAAAAACATGGGTGTGATTGGACGCACCACGAGGCATAAGGAGAAAGGAGGTCATACAAGTTGAGGATTCTCTATAATATATTTGTATATACAGTAACCGTACTAACATATGAGCCAATGCTATATATAGTGTCATTATCCTGTTGTACATGATGTGGGGACAAATATGGTGAGCCAAAAAGAATAAGGTTATTTGTAGGCCTTGGTGATCATGAGAGTCAAGTGATCATTTTGATGGGTGTCCTAGGTAGCACACATGTTCCATGGCTGATAAAAATATATGCCTATGGGGATGAGGCCGGGTAATACACCCATTTTAAGGAAAAAAAACTCCATTATATCGTATGCATGTCATGTATTTATACTATGACTTAAACTCAATTGGCATAGCGTCTATCAAGTGATCTATATATACAATGTGGATAATGTGAAGTAATTTGGTACTATCTCCGTCCTAAAATATTGCAACCTAGGATGGGATGTTGCAACATTTTGGGACAGAGGTAGTAGATCAGTTAGTGATCAGGTAGAGGTAGAGGTAGAGATATGATTGTGGTCATGTGTAGCGATAGTGACGACAAGGGCTGTACAATGAGATGATGATGAACTTGAGGTGGCAAAGCAAACAAAATAGAGAGGGAGGTGATGAGGTAGGGAAATTATGTAGTGCAAACCACATATGTAGTGAAAACTTGGAAACTACCGTTGGATCGAGAAATGGACGTCCGATATTCGTCCACGTCACCATGAGTTAAAGTTTAACTCCCAGTAAAATTTTAACTCATGAGTGAATCTGCGAGTTAAATTTTAACCCATGGTGACGTGGATGAATCTCGGATGTCCATTTCTCGATTCAACGGTAGTTTCCAAGTTTCCACTACATATGTAGTTTGCACTACATATTTTCCCGATGAGGTAAGAGACCCCATTTTGCCTTGTACGTCTCGTGTCCTTGTACTAGGGTTTTAAATCTCGGCTATAGTTGCCACTATATATCTTCAGCTATTGTTGTTTGAGAAGGATATAAGCTATTTGCTCTCATGTATAATTTAGCTGCTATAGCTCCTTTCAGCATGCTATAGCTGCTGCTATAGCTGTTTGAAAAGGCCAACCACTAAATACTTTATCCCGCTATTTAAGGCGCTGTCTTGTACCTACATGAGTTCATCCTCGATGAAGAGCAAAATTCGCTACTCGCTACTCATGTAGTAGGCAAGGCATTTTGCAAGAATGAAAGGCGGAAGCATATAGCGGTCAAACACGTGTCATCTAGATCTACATCACGAGTTTACTTTGGCACCCTCAATACCAAATGCACCCCTTTGTTTCTTATGTAACTAGAGGGAGTATCATAGTTGGGGACACTTCAATTTATGCACCTTTTGTTTCTGTGTAAACTTATTTGTAATTAATCCTGCTTAAAACTCAATGAGATGAAATCACTTCACTATTGGAGAAATATTTTTACCCATGGTTCGCAACCCCCTGTAGTCCCGATTATACAACCGGAACTAAGAATCCGGGACTAAAGATCTTTAGTCCCGGGTGAAATAACCAGGACTAAAAATCCATCTTTAGTCTTGGTTGGTGTTACCAACTGGAACTAAAGATGGTAGCGTCAGTGTCGGTTGATCACTATTTTTTTTCTTTTTTTTTTCATTGTACCTTTGCTCACTACAAATCTAGAACAAGCTTGTTGTAAAGAAGAAAACGATGTAATTCCTGCACGTGCCAAATCTACAAACTACGGGTATTAATACAATATATATAATGCCATTCCCAATAGATAATGGCAAGCGACAGAGCCGCATGCTGGCAAAGCCCGGATGACTAGTGACCGACCACATTTTTCTTTTAAGATATGAATGACAATTGACGATGAAGAAGCAATGGTGGAGTTTCGGCGACCGTATGACAAGTCCAGGAGTTGACTATGGTGTTTGAAATTCATGTAGATAAATATGAATATGAAGATTAAGTGTTTTATACAAAATCAGGTGGTATTAACGTATAATTAATTGAGTTTCAATTATTACAAATTTGAAAAATATACTTATATGATATTTTAGAGCAACTTCCATATAGAAAGTTTTCATATGAAACGCACAGTTTGAAAAGCGTAACACGAATATCTAAATTTTCATCTAACTTTTTTTTAGAGAAAAGAACGGGAACCAGTTCAAATTGTCTCAATTCATTGACCAAATATATTTATGGTGTACACTGCACACGAACTAATATTGCATATATACATATATGTAAGGTGTTAACTTCAAATTTATTTTATTTTAACAATTGGAAAAAATTGTGACAACTTTAAGAGCATATATTTGTTAGAATTTTATCTTGTTTGTAACGGCTAAAATATAATGATTTTCAAGATAAAACTTTGTAGTATATAGGTGTAATATTATTAAAAGTACTATACAATTTTTTTATAGATTCTTTTTAAAATCTATTAGTTGATGCGTATGAAATTTATACTGTAAGTTTGTTGGCATGGAATAAGTTGCCAAAAATATACATACTCTACTTAAAATCGAGTGATGCAATATAAATTTAGGTGGGCATATAAGTAGGTATAATAGATCTATGTAAACGCTACCGAGCACATGCAGCTTTGAAATTACAAACATATAACGGCATGTTTGGTTCGGGGGAGTTTTTTATAAGGGATTGGGAGTTTAGAAAGATGATATTATAACTGTTTTATTTAGTTGAGAGATATAGGACTTTTGGTGGAATATGGATGGGGAATTGTGGAAGAAACTCCCTCCTTTTCAATACCCAGGTAGGGGTGGTAATTGGGAGGAAATGCCTCCTTTACTTTGCCTAAACAAATCTCAACCATCCGTTTTTATTAATGACCTAATCTCCAACTAAACTCCCTACCAATTTACACCACCTCTACCAAACAAGAAATTGGGATTAAAAATCAAATTCCCATATTAATATCACCATCAATTCCCTCATATAAACTCGCAATCCCCTTCCCTCGACTTAAACATACAAAACCCTCATTTAACTATATGGCAAGATGCTTTGCCTCCTAAATTTAAATATATAGACATGATGCTTGCCTGCATGTCTAACAAACTAGGGTTAATTAGATCCATGCCATTGCAAATTTGCTGGTTTAAAAAAATACCACTACTTTTCGTGATTTTGGGTGTATGCCACTGAAACTTTATAAAATTTGAACCGTGCCACTCCGTCACCATTTCTGTTAGTACCTTTCGTCATCTCTAACAGGAAACGAGCACTGGCCGATGCCGCCGCCGAGCATGAGACGGCGATGACGAGGAGGTCGTCGGCGAGGGCCAGGTGGTCTAAGGGTTTGGCAACGATGAGGTGCAGCTCGGTGGTGGCGGTGACGAGCTCAGCACAAGATTGGGGTGCCACGAGCAGGCATCGGTGATGTCGAGGATGGTAACCCGGCGAGCTCGGGCATCGAGATCCAGCACCGGTCGTCGGTGCCGGTGGAGAAGCTAATGCCGTTGCTGAGCACGACTCCCTCTCGCAGCTCCACCCTCTGCGTCACCTCCTCCCTCCCTTCCCTTTCTTTTCTTTTGCCGGCTGCCGCGGGCGTCAAGATCCAGCGCCGGTAGTCGGTGCCGACGGAGAAGCTGATGCCGCCGCCGAGCACGACTCCCTCCCGCAGCTGCCCGCGACGGCAGCGGCGGCAGTGGCGGCAACGCCTGCGCTCCCCTCCAACTCCACCGGTGACGTGATGTCAGACTCGTCGGATTTGGTGGCTGCGGTCGCCGCTCCCTTCCAGTTCCACCTCCCTCCACCAGGTGCTAAGCTTGCTACCATCGCCGGATTTACATCGCCGCCGCGTGCCTCCTCTGCCTCGCTCGCCGAAGTTGGGCGCGGGGACCAGCGTTGGTGTGGGCAGGAGGAGAAGCCCACGAGTTGCCGCCCCTGTACCTCAAGCCCACAAGCTGCCATCGACAAGACCGCCCACGAGCCACCATCGACAAGCCCCCTCCACACCGCTGTCCATGAGCCCGAGAACCGCCGGAGATTTGTCGCTTACTACTGTACGTGCCGGAGCTGGAGAAGAAATGGAGGCACCGATGGAAATGTACCATCGCATGCTCAGACGGAAATCTTGACGGGAGTGGTACGGTTCAAATTTTGCAAAATTTCAGTGACATGCACCCAATATCATGAATAGTGATGGCATTTTTTCAAACCAGCAAATTTGCAATGGAAATTGGAATGGATGCATTTAACCTAACAAACTAACAACAGGCCATTCAGTTGAGTACTTGCATTTCTGGAATTACATGGCGACGAATAAAATACCGCAACTTGCTGTCTTGCCATCAAACCTCATTTTCTTCTTCTCCATCGGGCTGTCCTCTGCCCTAGCTAATCCTAACGTCAATTCAGATGTTGGCTTTTATTTTGGGAATTGGAATTGCATATAGACGGTTTGATTTCTTTACAGTTCAAATCTAATTCATCCGGTAGGATAACCAAAATCATAATTTGTGCTAAGTGCTAACAGTCTTCATTTGTTTTCCATAGCAGCAGTGGTGGATCAGCTTCACCTTCACAGGGAGAGAAAAAACAACACTACTCAATTTTTAATGGGAGTAGCAATATAAAAATATTTATAGCGCCATATTTTTTACAAAAAATAGTCAGCATGTATTTACAATATAAGTCCATAAATTACATATGTAAATTTAGTGTATTTATAATGTAAGTTTCAAAATTATATATGTAAGTCTTAAAATTACATATTAATTACATATGTAAGTGGCGTGTAAGTAGAATGTAAGTAGATGTAACTACAGTATAAATTTGTATAAAGAATAGCATGCATGCGTGGAAAACCATCGAAAGCTTGAACTAATGAAGATGTTAAGTTTTAATTAATCACAGTCGCAACGTCAGTTGCCACGGCAATAACACAGATCTTATAGCAACATCAACCGTTAAAAAATCTGACTGTAAAACAAACAAATTTGTGGCGACACAAATACAACCTTTCCGTTTTTGATACTAGTGTATATTAATCTCTTGGACACTAGTTAAGCAAACAGTACATTTGTTTCGTTAGGTACTTCGGGCATCAGATCAATCGGATTGATTGTTCACTTGAATATGTTGGTTACAACTTACAAATAGAATTTGATACGCAAAATCTAATTGATGCTATGTTATCAATTTGACAACATGGCATGCTTAGATTTGGAATTCCAGAGCTGCATATGGTCGGTGAGCTTTCGTTTCCTGTGTTCCCCAGTCCGGTCCTGTATATAAAGGCCACCTGGCCACCCCCGAAAAGAAAAGAAAAAAAAAGAGAAGAAAACCAAGAAAGGCGAGAGATACGCGGAGAGCAGCCAACTCCTCGCCTTCGCCTTCGGCTTCGGCTCGGCGCCGCCCCTCCCCTCTCGGTTAGCTGCTGCTCCTGCACCTGCTGCTGCTGCTACTGCCAATCTGCCATTCTCCCCCATTCGACCTCTCCCCCGTTTCCTCCGATCGACTCGCTTGCGCGCGGGGGAGGTGTGATCGATCGGTTCTCTCTCACCGCATTGTGATCGATCGTCTAGGTCGTACGGGCGCTCGATCTGCTTCGAATCCTCCATTTGGTTCGTAGTTTTTATTCCCCTTGATGGCCCGGACGACGCATGGTTTGGAATTTTTCTGCTCTAGGCTGGGTTTAGTGTGGGGGTTTGGGGTTTTTGTTTTTTGGTTGGGGGGATAGCGTGTTCGTTAGGTATTTGCGCTGCTCTGCTCGTTCGGTCGGTAAACGATTTCAACGGGGTGATGCTTCGGTGTGTTAGTTCACGAAGTTGAAGCGTTCGGGTTGTCGGTTCTACTAAATTAATTTATTTTCGCAATGAGGCTGAACAAACGCTTCAGTTTCTTTAAATAATGTTATGTTTTGTTCGGATGGGGATTTTCTTGTTGGAATACTTTAGTTTATAATCCTTATGTTGGAAATAAAGAACCTGCATAATCAATATCTGAAGTTACCACGTTGCTGAAATGTAGCACCTATCAAGTGGATTTACTACTGTCTACTGTACTAGATATGTACCCTTTTTTTTCTAAAAAAAAAATCTCGTTGCTACCAATGTCTTGTGAAATTGATAAATTGATTACAGTTTAGTGGTTCTTAAGAAATAGGGATTGATTTATCAATTGTCATTCCTCTAATTTGATTTAATGTTGATTTCTGCAGCTATGATGAGCTCTTCTTCGTCCTGGTCTACCCCAAGCTTTGGGTTAGCCAGGGAATCCTCTTCATTGTTGTTTACACCTGGCCTTGTGCAACACATGGGTCCTAATCCATCGTCATCTTGGTCCACCCCTGCTCATCCAGTCTCTGATAGTCCCACGTTTTCTTTCCCCACGCCATTTTTCTGTAAGCAACCTTTTCTTTCATCTTTCTGTTCTCCCTTTCTTTTTGTGCTCTTTCATACCTGCCAACTTTATAAAAAATTAACAACATGATAGGTGCAAGTTCTTACCTACAAACAGCTCATTTTCCTGTTTATGCGTGTTTGTGCTTGTGAATTCCTGTTCTTCTCTATAGTACAAATTTCTATTATGTGTTCTAATGCTTCAAGATATCATCAAGTAGTTTTTTTGGTTTGGTTATAGTATCTGTGTTGCACATCAATCTATAAGTCCAATTAATGTAGGAAAGCCTCGTAATCACTACAGTTTTGAGCTTCTTGGTACATATTTTTTTTAGTTTGTCTGGTCACATACTATATTTTTATTAATCAGAACGAATTGATGCTTCATATTTCTAATGTAGTCGTCCAATAGTTTTTGTTGATGAATGTCCTGTGGTAATACATCTTGAATGCTCAAAAACTGGCTGGTTTTTTCTAATTGGGCCAGGCTCAAAAACATCTTGATGCAAACAATTTGCTGAACCCCAGAATAAACCACCGCAGTATTATATTGTATTAGGCACCTATTGTCTTCCCAAACATCCATAGTGAATGTTCAAAATTGTAGTTAACTGTTATCTTACTCACCTTGGAGAACCTCTGAGCTAGTAGTACTGATGCCAATGGTGGATGATGCCACCCTGATTACCAATATTTGATATGCAGTGGTTGCTCCTGTTTAGAGTACCTTATGTATGTCTATCTTTGATGTTTATCCTTGGTCGCACAGACCCTTGTTTAGCTTGGGTTGAAAGTGCTAATACACTGGAAGGATTTCACCTACTTTATGTCTCTGAGCATTTGTTTTTAAGATTGTGAGGAAGATGCACATGCACATACCTGTCTGAGTGTCCCCCTTAGCACATACTTGAACTTATGGAGGTTAGGGATGAATCTGTCTACCTCACAAAAAATGTATTGAAGCGCGCAAGTGTGCACATGAATGCATTCACTAGGATTTGAACCATGGTAGGTGAGTCATACACCTTCTCCACCTCTGTGATTGGTTAATTGATTGTAAGGCAATTTTGATACTAATCTATTTTTTCATGGTGGCATGGCTTAAAATTTGACATGTTCCATTTTTTTCACTTTGTAATTTTCTTCTCCCATTTCACTTCATCTAGTTCACTTCATTTTTTTGTATTTTTCCATCGTAATTATATAGGTGAGCCTGCGAAAGGCAGCAGGGTCTATGCTTATACCAAGACTGCTGATGATCTTCCTCATAAGCATACACTATCAATTTCTGCAATGCCAGCATACATAAGCAAATCCCATGAGGAGCTTCGACATGAAGATTATCAGAGAGGAGACAAAGGTATAAGTGTTTGAAGCATTTTTCTGAACTTTAGACTTGTCTATGAAATTTGATGAGTTAGAATTTGGATAATGCGATCTTTAAAGAAAGCAGTGACATGTCACTACATTTTGGAGTAAACTCTTTCTTTGTTCCTAGAATTTGATTGCATCCCTTGTTTGCGCTTGCATCCTTTATTATTAGCCTAATGTTACACCAAAAGACAAATTACATAGCTATTTCAATTGTTATCTAGAGCATCTTTACAACTTACTATCTGAGTTCACGCGTCCAATTCTCTCTAGTTATTTAATCTGAAGCATCTTTACAACTTATTAGCAAGAATAGTTAACTATTTGATATTTTTTTCTCTAGTATTTGCATGTAGCAAATTAAACAGCTAATGTGAGCAATAAGCCTATAGTTCTAATAATTTATGCTTAGAGTTAGTATTAATGGATCATTTCCTGTGATGATTTATGTTTAATATTTTGTTGGCACATTTGCTATATGTTTGTTCCTTTTCTATGTATTAATCTAATTTTATTTGTTAACTCTCTAGGCGGTGATGGCCTGCAGAAAATTATGGTTAATTCAGCTCCTGTACCTCCCATGCCCATGTTATCATCTGTTGGAGCTCCAGTTAATATGATCAATTCAAGTCAACCTGCTTTCAGTTTGAAGTCCAAAACAAATTTCAGTACTCCATTTTCACCAGCAGCAACTGCTGATCAACAATCTGCACAGCTACAGTTCTCAACACAAAATCACTATTATACTTCCAACCCATTTTGGCCTGCCCCAATAGGATTGGTGCGACCATGTTCATCAACAGGACTGCAATCTTCCACGCCAGGTCTAAACTGTACCGGCATCACATCATTTCCATTCCTGCCCACAAAGCAACCGTCTGTGGGAACCCAATCATCAACTTTATTTCCTACCACTTTTGTGCATCCATCCGTGGAGTTGCAAAAGAATGCCTCCACCCACTGTGCTAGCTCACAGACTGCTCCTTGTACGACACACGGAGGAATTCTATTCGGCACGGCTGCAAATACAGTCTCATTAACTACATCATCTACTGTAAGTTCCTTAAATCATGGCTTGTTTGTGAACAAAACAAATTGGCTCTAATCATTGATATTTGTGTTGGTTGACAGGAGCCAACCACATCATCCCTTGGTCCAACCTCATGCCCTGCTACTCGACATGGAGATGCACCTTCTACTGGATTTGCATGTCAGGAAAATGTATTCAGCAACTCAGCGGCATATACATCTACTGTAAGTGTTGCTGTTGACTGTAGTATTTATTTGCGGTGCAGTACAAGAGGAACTACTATGCATGATTATTTTCCGTTATCTTTGTTTCTCAGAGGAGGCATAAATCAAAACTTCTTCCCACCTTTCAAATCCATCGCTCGTTTTTCCAGACTCTGCTTTATATGAGAAAGATAATCTTCTTTGCAGATAAATGCGGATGTTCCCACGAATACCATAGATTTGCTACTTCCAAATAACATCCGGCTGGTAAGGCTTAGATTTTCTTCAACAAATGATGGTAATGGAAGTGTTGCTTCAGAGGTACGGAACTGAATCTCCATAGTAAAGAGTTGCTCTGCACATTATTATGCATGAGTCTTTCATAAAATGATCTCTTGGCCCCTGTGGCTTCTAAAATCATGTTGGAAGCTTTGATGCTTTACATCCTTGGTCTCATTACTATTTAGAATGAAATGACTTTGACCTTTATGTCTATTCATTCTGATGGTCATATAATAACATAACCATGTCCCTTTTTGTAGGTTCATTGTCATCATGATGCTAAAACTTCAGAAACACCCATTTCTTTGTGCATATATCCTGGAGAGAACCAAGAGCTGATTATCAAATCAATGGTGCAGCCTGCTAAGAGTCACACTGGGAAACAATCTAGTCCAACTGGTGGTCATCCAGATGATCAAAGTGGTAATTAGTGTTTGCATTTCATTCCTTCTGATATATGTTTCAGACAAACAGTTTCTCTACTCTGACTCATATGTACAGTATGAATACATCATTTATTTATTTTATTACTCCCTCCATCCCATAATATAAGGCATAGTCAAACTTGGCACGGTCTTCAAACCTAATCTTTGACTTATATTTTCTCATATACTATAAGATTTATTGCAACAAAATTATAACCATCTTAAAGTAAATTTAAATGTCAATCCAAAGATATTAATTTTAGGAAATAAAATTTAATTTATAGTATTATAATAATTGTTGGTCAAGTATTTTTAAAGTTGAATCTTGGACTGCGTGCATGTCTTATATTATGGGATAGAGGAAGTAGCAATTAAGGAGCAAAAATATGATCACTGAAGTGTGGTGTAATTTAATGTTAGGGATATCTGTTGTGAGTAGTGAAAAATACATTATCATTTCTAAAGATTTATCTAAAGATATTCCTATAAATGTAAAGGTATCTCAGAACTGAACACTTATCATACAAGTTCGATTTTTGGTTACTTCAGGTCGCAGCAAAGTATGCAACAGTGCTGCTGGTCTGCCATCGTCAGGACCTGGTGAGAATCAGAAGGGGAATAGCAGTGCTGGTCACAAGACACCAAAGTCTCCACTGGCTGCTCCTCGTTGCGAAGCGATAGCGGAGTCTGTACTGCCTCGCCTGTACAGCGCCGATTACTACACCGTGCCATCTATTGTGGAGCTCGCCGTGGGAGAGAGGGACGAGCCAGGCTATTGCTCACATGTGAAGGGCTTCACGGTCGGCAGGCATGGCTATGGCAGCGTAAAGTTTGATGGAGAAACTGATTGGAGAAGGCTTGATATTGGATCCATCGTGGAGTTCAATGAGCGTGAGATTATTGTGTACAGAGATGTGAGCAATACGCCGCCTGTTGGGCAGGAACTCAACAAGCCTGCTGAAGTCACTCTTCTGAATGTCAAGTGCGTCGAACAGAAGAATGGGTTGCAGTTCACAGAGGGGCCGGCAGTTGATAGGTACAAGGAGATTTTGGTGCAGTGGACAAAGGACCATGGCGCAGAATTTGTGTCATTTGACGCGGCCAAGGGAGAATGGAAGTTCAGGGTTAAGAATTTCAATATGTAGAGTCCTCTGAGAATCTATAATTCTCCTATCAGTAGGCTCCTGTGTCTGGTAGAAGTAACAACATAGTAATCCTGTAAAAAATGTGTTCTTTTTGTAGTTCGGTCACTTGGTACGGATAGCTGGATACTTCTGGACGAAATAACTTTAGCTATAAAAACTGCCTTTGTTGCGTAATTTTCAATTTTGCGCGGTTGTAATGATTTTGTTAGCGTTTCTGTCAGCCTGGATTGAGTTTTAGCATCAACTCTAAAATGGTAAAGGCAGTATTATTTTCTTAAAAACAATTACGTGTAGGAGTAACAATATATTTATCCTATGATCTCTACTCCTGGAAATAGATATGTAGTCAGTGGTTACAATGATTTGAGTAACATCTCAAGATCTTGAGTAAATCTCCATAGTTTAAATTTTAAAACTTAATTTTAGAATTGTTTCATTTTAATTCTATTTTTATATTGATCTTTGAACCGTTCATAACACACATATAAAAGTATTATTCATTAAGTTCTTTTAGTTGTTTCATTCCTTTTTTTTCCTTTTTTTTATCCTATAATAAACAATTATGTTCTACCAATATTATTCTGAAACATTCTTTTATAACATTCCCACTTTGCTACTAACAGTATTAGACAATATCTTAGGAACAAAGTAGCCAAAGTAGAATGGAGGGGGGTAGTTTGCACGTCTGTCATTCAGATAGGGAGAGGCTGTGGGCATGTGGATGTGGCCTCAACTCGTGCAAGGATTTAATACTCTGATGAAATTTACATTGCTTATATTTTCCATGTCCTCAATATGTGGGTACAGAATATATGCAAGATTTTAGCAGTGAAGTTGATCTGAAATGCTAATGTTTAAACATATAATTGGGTTGCACCATTTTTTTTAACAATACAAGTGACAATGTCAAGGTTGTTAAGCACAGTAGGATAGGATTTGTTATGATTTGCAAGATGTCAAGTTACCTTGACAAGTGAGAGCGCATAGTTTCTTCCTACGTAACACACGAACATTTCGCTAGCAAATAAATAAACGCTACATCTCAATACATGTTCTAATAAAATCATACATACAGTGTATTATGCTCAGCATGGTATGAAGTGTTCGCTAATTGTTAAAAATCAAGTTTCTGGCTAGAGTATATCCTATATTCAGCACCAATATTATATCCTCACAAGGGAAAACAAAAGGGTTATTTGACAGCGATGAACAAAGATAGCGTTCATAGGAAACACGGTGATGCTCCATATGACAAGTCACAGGAATTTTCTTTTTCAGTTTGTTTTTTTTCGTCAAAGGGTTCCCTTATGGGCAATATCTTGATGTTAAGTGCAACTCTGCAGTGAAAAGAAGTCCTCGGCATAGCACCACTTGGAAGGATAAAAAACGTACACACACAATTAACTTACCCGTTCTAATCATCTAGAAAGAGAGGATAAACTTTTGGTTTTTTATGGCACGCTTTTCAAAATGCTAAATGGTGTGTTTCGTGCGAAAATTTTCTATATGAAAGCTGTTCTAAAATATTAGATTAATCCATTTTTTAAGTTTGTAATAATTAAAACTCAATTAATTACATGTTATTATAACCTCGTTTTGCGTAAAACACTTAATCTCATCTTCAGGAGATTCAAACAAAACGTAGAGTGTCAATTGACTTGGGGCGTATTTACTTTCTTAATATTTTCAACTGTACCAAAAATTTATTTTGAAATATTTTGACGTTGTGTTGAATGTGTTTGCTTTGAGGCTTGCCAAATTTTGATGTTGTTTTTACGAGAGAAAACATCCCGAATTACTAATTCTTTTAGGGTGGTAATGGGAGGCTATGTTTAGTTTGTTAGCCCTGAAAGAGAAACACTAAGAGTAGGTACAATAGCAGGTTATAAGCTAGCTATAAACATATTTTAAAGAGATAAAGAAAGAGATGGAAGAGCAGCGGGCTACAGATCTGTAGCCAGCTATAGCACGGACTACAAGACGTAATGTGTGTATGACAGGTGGGACCAGGTATTAATAGTATAGTAAGCAACTAGAGTATGAATTAGTTATTACATTGGCTATAGATGATTTGGAGCTAGTAGTGGGCTATACTATTAAACTTGCTCTAATGTCGTGGTGGTGGAGTCGTGGGTGTATAACTTTACCCACTAGGGTTCAAATCCTGGTGTGCACGAATATTATGCATAGGTAGGTGGACTTTCAACATGATTTTAGTGAGGTTAGAGATATGTCGCTGGTTTTCGTCTATTAGAGCATAGGTTAAGAGATACATTCACGGGGTGTGAGAGTGGTGTTACGTCTGTAGTGAAAATGGCAATAAATCAAACATGCCAATTATTGGTTATAAATATGACTTCTTAATTATGAAGGCATATTATTTTACTAAACAAAAGGATCGAAGCTTAAAATCAGTTTAAGAGACATCAGTCAAACATGGCACAAAGAGCTATAAGATGGAAACCAAACTCCAATAGTTCTTAAGTTTCTTTTTTTTTTTAAAAAAAATCTCATACATTGATTAGTACTCTACAAATGTCATCACACCTGTTGGTTTCCTGGTTCCATAGTGTTGTATTTTGGCTTCCACCACAAGCGCAATTTACTCATTGTTTTCCATTTCTATATCTTCCACTGGCGGCTTATTCTCCTCCGCTGCATCAACAACCAAAGGTGAGTCCGGCTCATCATCCTCTGAACGAACAATTACTATTAGGCACAATGACCTCTACCGGTGCAATAACCTCTTCCGGTGCTTTGCATTGACCACTATTGCAAACATTATCCTCTTGCACGTCCTCTATAGGAGTTTGTTCTACCTCCGTGTGACTTGTCTCGATGATTCCAAAAATATATGTTTTCTTCTGCACCAATATTTTCAGACTATACCCTTTCTCCCTTATTCTAGCCACAAACTTTCTCCAACTCTCAATAAATGCAAGCTCCATTACTCTCCATTGTCATCCATATTCACCCCTTACTGGCCACACAACCTTTATGATATTTTTTTCAAACACTGGATCTTCCCCAGACATATTATACAACCACCCTAACACGTCGTTCAAAACCAACTGCTCCGGCGCATTCAGGCTAGTATCAACAAAGATCGAAACCACCCCGCTATCACAAAGTTGTACATGAACATCGCTATAATATACACGAACGGCCACATCACCTGACATCCTAAGAAAACATGACAGATTATCTTACTACATTACTACCCAATAACATCACCTGTGGTACATTTTTACTCTAATGCAAAATAACTAAATTCGTCACTACTAAAAATAACTTCATGTTGATTTCTACTAATCTACATTTATTTTTACTTAGTGGACACTACTTTCAAATAACTTCATGTTAATGTGTACTAGTACTCCATGTTTATTTCTACTTAGTGCTCACTACTTGCAAATTAATACATTGCTACTCACCTAAAAATATATGTACTAACCTAGTACTAACTTCAACATACTACTAATTTAATATATGTACTAACATTCAACAATGATTAACAAATCATTAGTGTCGTACTTAGGGATTATAAATTTATACCTCCAGCGTTGCTGCTCTCTTCTGCATAGTCATGGGCATCGCATCCCCTTCCAGCCGCGCAGATCTCTCCCGCGACGATGGCAGCCCGATGAGACACTTGGTGGTCCTCGCCCCCTCAACTCCAAAAATGACCCTTGTCGAAGGGTGGAGAGGGGGATTTAAAGCCGCCAGTCGAACACCCATTGTTTGATAGGGGCAGTCGCAGGGACCTGTTGACAGCCACAGTTCAATATTGTGCGCTGGGACCTGTTGACATTGCACACTGTCAGATGTGGGCCCAGTCGAACACTCGTAGTTCGACAGGTCCAGTCCAACTCCTTTTGTTCGATTGCTTCCACCTGTTGAAGACTCGCCGTTTGATAGGCACCTGTCGAATTTCGGCAGTTCGACATGGCCCTATTTTGACAATTATTTTTGGGTGGCCATCATTTTTACTATTTTCCATTAAATGAATATTATTTCTGAAAACAATTCCACATAAATAATAAGCTATAGAGTTTGTGATTTTGCTATAGCTTATAACAGGAAGCCGGAGTAACGAGATAAGATCCAGGGGGACTGGGAAAGTGCGCAACCAAAACATCCAAGAAACCAATCAAATCTCGCTGGAAGAAAGCATAAATACTAGACAAAAAAATTCCATTTGGACGAACATATATATTCCAAGAAGTTGGTGGAGACTGACTTTTTCTTGGGTAGAATATTTATACATGTTGTTGCTTTTACTGAAATATGCTGTAAAGGGGATACTGAATAGCACTACAGCTAGCTAGGTAGCTCAACACTAGTCCAGAGAACATAATCATTATATCAAACAACTCTTGCGCCATATGTTCATGTTTGATTGAGGAGAACCATATGATTGTGTTAATAAACAATTTTTTTGGCAAGTACGTACGGATGCAACTCCTTGAGTACTCACAATCAAAATATTATCAGTATATTTTAAAGTAAAACGAAGGATTAGTGGATTAATTGACAAGAGATGAGAAGTGCCGATTAATGAAGGAAAGCTCCCCAATGTTTCTCTCTTTCGGGTTGTTTGAATATAATCCTGTTTCGTTTCTTCCATAGATTTTTTTTTTCGGCGAAGACATATTTATTTCTTCCATATGCTTGACATGACATATATATGGACCGGAACCACGGTCAGATTCATTTCTCGACTCTTGAATGATCTGTCGTGCCCTACGTTGAGCCAGGATTTGTGGTGCACTACATGCACACGTGGGTACATTTGGTGGTAAAAGCACATAGGGATTAGCTATGTATTTATCGTTAATTTTTTAAGATTTTTAAAAGTTACAAATAAATTATAAATTATAAGTTAACGATATAATTTATATGTAACTTTTAAAAATCTTGTGATAACATATTATTTCCGTGAAACAGATGTGTCATAACGGAATCCTATATGCACGCTATGATTTTTAAAGTAAACTAGGAATGCGTCATACGCCAAGTTTGAGGTATTTATAAAAGCGAGATATTAACCGGAGAACATCTGCCACGATTTCTCCATAAATTCTTTTTGTCAGTATTAATTAATTGTTTAATAATATTTTAACCTATTAGCTTCATATTATATCATACATAAGTAATATCTATAAGCAATCATTTATAATCTTCTTCATCATTTGAA